AAGCTTCCACAGTGCAACACAATGACAGTGACAGGACAAAAACACAGATAATAAAAGGAAAAAAATAGAGCAAGTAAATAGGGAATAACAATATACAAATTGGCAATTGTATGTACAGGTATATTACAATAGACAGTTTTGTATGTGCAGGTACATTATGTGCAAAGTTCGAAATGTAAACTAAGTATGTGTGTTAGATAAACAAGTGTATAAGTGTATAAATAATGTTGTGTGTATAAGTGTACAAATAGTGTTGTGTGTGCCACAATTATTGTCAAGTGTTCATAAGATGGATTGCCTGAGGGAAGAAACTGTTCCTGTGCCTGACTGTTCTGGTGGTCAGTGCTGTGGCGTCGATCAGATGGCAACAGTTCAAAGAGGGAGTGGGCTGGATGTGAGGGGTCCAGAGTGATTTTCTTAGCCCTTTTGCTCACTCTGGATAAGTACAGTTCTTGGAGAGTAGGGAGGTTTGTACCAATGATTCGCTCAGCAGTCCGGACTATCCGATGTAGCCTTCTGAGGTCAGATTTGGTAGCTGAGCTGAACCAGAGAGTTATAGAAGGGCAAAGGACGGATTCAATGATAGCGGAGTAGAACTGTTTCAGCAGCTCCTGTGGCAGGTTGAACTTCCTCAGTTGGCGAAGGAAATACAACCTCTGCTGGGCCTTTTTAACAGTGGAGTCAATGTGAATGTCCCACTTCAAGTCCTGAGAGATAGTGGTGCCCAAGAATCTGAATGACTCCACTGTTGGAGTCATTCAGATTCCTGAATCACACTGTTGTTTCATGTGATAGTATTAAAGGGGTCATATGATGTTGCTAAAAAGAACATTATTTTGTGTATTTGGTGTAATGAAATGTGTTTATGCGGTTTAAAGTTAAAAAACATATTATTTTCCACATAGTGTACATTATTGTTTCTCCTCTATACACCGATTTCACGCAGCCGGCATATTGAAATCGAAAGCGAGGTTCCGGTGGGAAGAAACCCGTAAGTAAAGGTAAACAACAATGGTTTGGACTACCAACCTTGAGCTGCTACCGCGATTTAATATTTTAGATGTTGAAAAATGGGCCGAGGAAGGATGTCGAATCCCACGAGCTGTTTTGTTAAAGGGATACAGCAACTGGATCGAGGGCTATGTCACCGATATTGAAGGTAGGGTTAATGTTATATCACATCACATGAAACCAAACAAGCTAGCAAGATAGCTCTGCCTTACCGGTTGAAACGCATTCTGTTTGTCCATGTTAATTTCGTTCTTCGTTTTTACATCAACAGGACATTTTATGTTATAATCATTTATGTTATGCATTTCGAATATTTTTCCAATGTTTGCAGTCAGGAAAAGTGAGGCAGGCTGTGTTGTGAGGGCAAGGGCATTTCGCTCTATGCGAAAAAATCATACACGTTACATGGTGCAGGTAACGTGTACGAGTAGACAGTGAGTTCAAGTTCAGACGTTGAGGCACTAGTTCAAGTGCCAAAGTTCTTTCTTTTTTTTTTTTCCTGAATTCATCACCTTCTTTTCAGTGACACTGGTTGTAGGAGAACCTGACAATTTGACATACCTTAATTATAATAGTAGCAATAATAATTTTATAAATTAATCAGAATTTTTGTGACAAAAACATTTATAATGTTTCAAAACATTTCCATTTCAAATAAATGCTGCCCATTGAACTTTCTGTTTATAAAAGACAGTATCAAAGTTTCCACAAAAAATATTAAGCAAAAAAACAAACAAACTTTTTTAGCATTGATAATTAGAACAAGAAGAACACAAACTATTATTATTAATTGGGCACCATCAATAACTGATAATAAATGAACACCAAATCGGCATATTAGGATGAATACTGAAGGATCATGTGACACTGAAGACAGGAGTATTGATGCTGAAAATTGTATGTAGATGTACATCCAACATTTAGCATCATCAGTTCAACACAAATACAATCTCTATACAGATGCCAACTTACCATGTTGTTTCCTACAACCAGCAAACCTCTCCATTTTTGGGGGGAAATGGTAAAATGTTCCTTGACTTCCCACAACATGCTGGACATTAATATTGTTATTATTTGAAATAAATATTGACTTACCCCTTTTTGTTTCTTAATTTCCAGGTGGAATTTCCATCGGAAGGTTCCTTCGTCGTTGGCCTGTCAAAGTGCAACGGCAAAGCTGGCCTAGATCACTGCAATTATCAGATTGGGTTACTGTATACCCTGGTACACTATACCAAACTGGGATATAAGTCCATTCCACCTACTGTTAGTAAAACCTCCCTACCACAGACATGGCACGTTCCTTCACGTTCTATGGGTCTAGCCCCTAAACCTATTAATACAGTAAAAACATCAAAATTAAAGCCCCCAACAGGTGATCCACCACAAACATCCTATAAAAGATCTCGTCATGGAATCATACCCAACATCTACTGTCCTATTCCAATCTCTTTACCAAGTGATCAGTTTGCTAATGACCTTTGTGAAAACCTTGCTAAAATTGGAAGTAATAGCCAAATGTACAAACTGCTGCAGGCATCAAGGAAATATCCAGTGGACAAAGTTAAATCGGAATTTGGACTTCTGCCCCATGGATCAGCTTTGCCGTACCAAGCCGTTGGCTTACCCTCCACAACCACTGATCACTACCCACCTTTTCCTCTGCCACCACAACCGTGCACTTACTCAACAGTTCAAAATGAGAAGGAGAGTACTTTCTATAGAGGTATGACTGTTACACCCTCTGATGCTGAGGCACTAGAGAAAGAAACCAGGGTACAGAGTGACAGTAAGATATGGCACCGTGTTCGTTCCCAGCGTCTGGCTTCATCCACTTTTAAAAGAATAGTCTCACAAGTTGCAGACTTCAGCACGCTTGCCACCAGTATGCAGAAGCAGAAAAGGTCAGTGCAGACACAAGCCGTGATGAGAGGCCTGGAACTGGAGCCAGATGCAGCTGCAGCTGCACAATATGAGCAGGAAACCGGCAATCGTGTTTTCCCTTGTGGCTTTGACATAAATCCTCATGCCCCCCATTTAGGCGCATCTCCTGATCGAAAGGTGGTTGACAGTTCTGGTGCTCTGGGGTTGCTTGAAATCAAGTGCCCTGATGTAAACAGTGTACTAGAGTGAAAATACCTTTCTGTAAAAGAAGATAGTGCGCTTGCTCTGAAAACCAGCCATGGATATCATTATCAGATGACGGGACAAATGGGAATCACAGGGGTGACCTGGTGTGACTTTTTTGTCAAATCCAGAAATGACTTCCATCTAGAGCGCATTGACTTTGATGAAGAGAAGTGGGAGTCTGTAAAAACTAAATTAGACTTGTTTTTCTTCAACTACTGGCTGCCCAACCTGTGCTTATAAATCAACCTGTGCTTAGTGAGTAAAACACACACACCCACACTAACTCGCACACAAACACACTTAACAATCAATGCACACATTCGATAATTAAGTAAATATATGTACAGTTAGAACAACTAATTTCTACATTAAAACAAATAACAATGTAAAAATAATGTCATTGCTATTTATAATAGATTTTCACTGTATTGTATACATAAGTACTGAATAAATATTTGTATAGTTTTAGAACTAATTTCTAGATTAAAACCAATGAAAGCTAATGGGTACAAATATATATATTTTTATTTCAGTAATTCAATCCATTGTATATTTGAAGAGTTCCAATGCAAAAGCCTCTAAAAGCCATCTTGGTCAAAAATGAGATAACGATAATGATTGAATGCTCTCCACACACAGTAAATGTTCATCAAGTACTTTCACTTCAAATGCGCTAAATCCCAGCCTCAACCCATTCAGAAGTACCAGTACTTACACAGAAACCTATACATAGTAGCCAGAAAGAAATGCTAATTTTAAAGAAAAATGTCAGACGTACTTAGAGGCTTTTGCATCTGAACTCTTCATTTGTCTTTCTACTGTACAAATTACAACAATAAACCAAAGTAGCAACATTTAAATGTCTCCTCATTTATGTACATTTTGTTTTTTTAACTATAAGCTAAAATGTAGGTCTGGGGAGTAAATTAATAGTTTACCAAAAACAAAAGAAAATTGTTGAAAATGTACTTACTCTCAGGCCACCAAAGATACTGAGCAAATGGTGTAATGCTAAATTCCTCCAAATCTGTTCCAATGAAGAAACAAATTCACCTACATCATGGATGGCCTGAGAGGGAGTACATTTGAGGGTTTCATAATCTTTACATCTGGTGTAAAACATGATCAGCTTGGGCTCACATTGGAATCTTTGTAGACAAAACTACTGACTTCTTAAATTTTCATTTTCTTTTGTCAGACGAGCAATCTCCTTTTGTGCTGCATTCAGCTGCTCTTCAGTGGAAGGAGATATAGCATCTGGACCACTCAAACACACTATATATATTTTGTTAGCTAGATTTAACAAATACTATGTAACACCCCAGGAAGCTGAACAGGCCCCTGGTTCCATAGCAATGCTGACACCCGATACATTTACGACCTCCTGGAATTTAGGTGAAGAAAATCGCTTCCTTGCCCATAAGGAAAATCCACAAGGGAAGGACTTTTCTTTGCTAATTAATTAATAGGAAAACCTTTCTTTGAATGAACACACATGATCCTTCAGGTCATTGGGTATATTATTGTCATCGTGTATTTTGTCTTTGAAATTGTATACTGTGATGCAGGTTTATAATCGAAACACACTACCAAAAATCTGAATAAATCCGATTTCAGATTCTGAAAGTTGTTTATATGAACCCTATTTTTTTATCTGGTTCACAGAGATCTTATAAAAGAGCTTTAGTAAACATTCATCCCAGCACTGTGCATGTGTGCAAGGTATTTGAGCTATCAATCCCATTACTAACAGATTATTTGGGTGTATGTAAATGTAGCAATTGAGTCATTATGCAGCAACTATCATGCCTATATAAGACATATTTCACTCTGTTGGCATTAGATAGATGACTTACTGGTCTCCTGTGTTCTGATCAGAAAATGAATGGTCCTCCTCTTCATCCTCCTCAAATGTTTCAATATCATTAACACTGGGTAGGAAAATCACAATTAATAAAGTTACTTTTGTTCATATTGTACTGTTATGCACATTTGTCACAGACATACATTTTACAATTCAGAATTTTTGTAATATCTATCAAATTTGCTGCCAATTGATGAAGATCTGACACTTCCAACAGTTTTATATGTCTGAATAAACAGCATTCTGTCAATACTGTAAATTATACTATACAAATTGTGCAACTGTAAGAATTGACAGCAAACAAAGTTAATTCATATCACTTTGGTTAGGTTATACAACATGATGAATTACATCAGGTAATATGATAAAACATTACAGTACTATCATATTTTTTATTCAGCAAGGTTAAATTCAATTTAAAAAGACAATCCTAATATCATAAAACAAGTGAACGGCATGCACCGCTGATGTCGCTCAAGTGTCCTCCTGGGCTTCAGTTCACAGCTCCACGGAAACAAAGTTGGTATGCTTCCATGTTTCAGTCTATGTAAACCAGTGAGCGATCGTACAATGCAGTCCGGGGTAAAATGTTTGGAGCATACTCTAGTGTTGTCTGTAACCTTATGGGAGAATCAGTTCATTAACATGCGTTTGATAACTGAGTAAAACGTGTAGCTTGGAGAGCTAGCGCTAGCTAGATTAATAAAGGTATTTCGCTTACCTGAAAATAAGGTCCAACATCTCTTCTTATATTCACAATTCATTCACAGCAGACTTTTGGGTCACTCGGAAAGCGATGAAATGACAACTCTTTATCGCACTCTTTCCGTTGATAGGATGTACAGCCTGGTACACAGCAATACGACATCGCTACTCCTGTGATTCAAGGCAATACTTCCGGGTTTCTTCCCACCGGAGCCTCGCTTTTGATTTCAATATGGCGCATGTGAAATCGGTGTATGCCCTGCCTTTCTGAAACGCGTCGATTTTTACAAAGCTCATCGGTCTGAAAAGCGAGCTGTGCTGTGATTGGCCAGCTATCCAGTGCATTGTGATTGGCCGAATACCTCAAGCATGTGACGGAAATTTTACGCCCCTTAACATACTGTGATGCCCTGTCCGGCTGGAGCGACGATTCAAAAACATTAAAACCCATTATAAACGAGGCATTTGTTGCATCCAGTGGGGACATAATTACGGATTATAATGACTTATACTGTCTTTTTACGCGTTGCGTTGCATCGTGCCGCGTAAACATAAAACCATGTCTGCATTTGTAATCGGAGAAATGACAAACAAGCGCTACTCTACATTGCTCAAAACTCGCGTTTTAATCATCAGTGGCAAATCCTTTAAATTAAAACGTACTTACAGTCTGTGAGTCAGAACAGCCGGCATTGTAGTCTACTCTTCCAGGATCAGGAAACAGTCCTCCATAAAATGTGCTGCACAAAAATGAATGTTTGGGTTGAAACTGTTCTGGAACTGTGTTGTAAATACAACTTAACCACTGATTTCCAGTGGTGTCCTCTTTTGGAAGACCAAACAAAGTAGTTTCACTTTCACAACGAAACACACGGCGGGCTAGAGTGAGCGACGGCCGGAGAGCTAGAGTGAGTGGTGGCGGGCGGGCTTGAGAATGGCGCGGCCGGCGGATTCGACGAAGGAGCGAATTTGCAGCAACCACATGTGACGACCCTAGGCTGCACTCCGCTTCGTCCACGGTGAAAGCCAATCCGGTGAAAGTAGATCAGCACGGATCAGCTCCAGGCATGACGAAGCGGATATCATCCTCTTTTGGAAGGCCAAACAAAGTAGTTTAGCTTTCACAACGAAACACACAGTGCCTTCACGACATGGTGGCAGCAACAACACTACAGCGAGAATAAAAGTTACGCCTTCTTTCTTTGCGTGAACATTTGGGCGGGGTTATGCAAATCTTACCACAGCGTGACGTAGACATGTGGGGCGTGTTAGAGCAAGCCATTTTATGTAGGTGTAGGATTACAAATTTAAGAATCTGTTTAAAATATGCTGATCCTATGTTCTGACATAGCATCACATGAAAAACTAAGGTGAAGTACATTGTATTTAGCATTTAAGGTAAATTACATCAGACAAATTATTATCTTAAGCAAAGTGGAGCAAGAGGTTCCTGTCTGTTCCTGTTCTCTTACTGTTAGTCAAATGAACCAGATTACTGAGACCATCACCTTTTGTTTGTAATGGCTCTTGGTGCCTCTGCCCCAGTCTTTGAGTAGTTATACTGACTGAATTAGTACCTATGCATTTGAATGACACTGTGATGCTGATGAGATCAAGGCTGGGAAAATGCCGGTGTCGGGCTGATTGCCTGTACTTCATTTGCATGCTATGGGTTAGATTGTCTCCACCTCTACTGAATGTATCCCGCCCCCTTAAAATGTATATAAACTACAATGTATTACTGCCTTAGTCAGACTTGGATGACTGCAGCGACGCACAGCGAGTCCTCAGTAAAGAGTGACTTCTGTATGAAAGATATCCCAACGTCTCCTGGTTTCTGCTTCGACGAGGAAAAAGTTTCCTACATAGGCGTGGTTGACTCTTAACTTTTATAAAGAAAATCTCTTTGCAACTTTACAGATCTTCTTTATGCACCAAGAGCTTGTAACACTTCAAAGAGAAAGGAAAAATTTTAATCGCATCATATGACCCAAAATCTAAAGTATTATTATGACAATGAGTTGGTCCTGACACGTATTGTCAAACCCCAATATATTTTAGAATGTCTATAAATGCTGATCCTAATGCATATTTTTCATTATTTACATGGATATTAAAATCTCCAACAATTAAGACTTTATCTGCAGCCAACACTAGCTCAGATAGAAAATCAGCACATTCTTTGATAAAGTCTGTATGGTGCCCTGGTTGCCTGTATACAGTAGCCAGTACAAATGTGACAAGGAAGTTATCATTAACACGTATTACACTAGATAATGTTATATAAAGCACCATTACTTCAAATTAATTATACTTAAAACCAGACCTCTGAGAAATACTGAAAATATTGCTATAAATTGTAGCAACACCTCCCCCTTTACCTTTTATTCACTGCCCATGTTTATAACAGTAATCTTGGGGGGTAGATTCATTTAAAGTAAAGTAATAATCTGGTTTTAGCCATGTTTCTGTCAAACAGAGCACATCTAGGTTATGATCCATGACATATAATTTCATATAATTTACAAAAAGCGCTTTTGTAGAAAGGGATCTAATATTCATTAAACCAAGCTTTATTATGTGTGTATGTGCATTATATCAGGTTTTTTTTTTGGAACATCAATTAAATTGTTACCCTTAAATTTGTTTGGAGGTTGTTGTTTTTTTTGTATTGCTAGGTCAGGGACAGACACAGTCTCTGTAGAATGATATCTAGGTGAAAGACTCTCTATGTGCTGAGAATTAACTGACTTCTGTTACATGAGGCGGCTAGCAGACGGTCGGTTTAGCCAGTCTGTCTGCTTCCTGACCTGGGGCCTAGTTAGTCTAGTACAGACTCTAAGACTATGTGCTATTCTGACAGGAGAATCATAAGTAACTAGTGCACTTTCATCAGGTTTCTCAGTGGGTACATCACTGAGTGGGGAGAACCTGTTTAATGTTATGATCTGAATGGAAGAGTGGTGTTTTGTCACCTCACAGTCACCAAATCGCCCTGCTGCGGGGGCTCTGCAACAGGAACCGAACAATGTACGGGACTCACTGTAGTCGCATTCAAAGCCGTATCTAAGGCCCTCACATTCTTACTATCCTGAATTTAAGTTTGGATGCGTGTCTCTAGTTTTTAAATCTTCTCTTTCAGCCTAACTATTTCCCTGCATTTTTTCACATGTGAATCCCTCGCTGGGATTAAACAGCGCAAACAGGACTAAATATGATATTAAAAGACTAAAAGTCTCTGGTTTTTATAAAGTAACACTGTCCAACAGCGACACCCACAGGTAAAGTTACAGCGGAGGCTTGCCTCCCTTCGGTCCATTGTTTTTCTTCAGAGACCCCTTAGCATGCCAAGACTTTTCTGGAGGATCATTGAGATAAATGGGGGACAATCACGTGAGAGGAAGCAATGCCTCCATCGCGCTATAGTTGGATATGAACGGTTATGATTGGATGTGATTGGTTAGTGTGAAAAATCCCACCTCTTGTTTTCGTGCAAGCTGTCGGCCTGAATGAAGAAAATTATGGCGTTATTGACTAATTATAAAGTAAACAACTCTCCTGCTTAGATATCAATGCTTTGTGTCACGTCAAAATGAAACATGAAATGGCTTGAAAACGTGATGACTGTCAGTTTTCAGTGAACATTCAGCTTGATGAAATTAAAGATGTAGCCTATCTTCTTGCCTGTGGCAATTGTGACAGGGCTTTTATGACGATGACCCGAAAATAAGTTGACTATTAAAAAGAACAGCTGAACATCAGTTCACAAATAAAAAATGGAGTGTCTATTTACAAGTGCAAATAGGCCGCTTTGTTGGCAGAGGTTACAGAAGACTCTAGTGGCGCAGATGGTGAAGTACGTGATAAGTCGTTTTTGACACGATCGACCGAGGTTCAAATCCGCATTTTGCTGAACTTTGTTTCCTACCTTTTCAAATCAGATATCACGTTGGAAAGGCATGTATTTTCAATAATAATGAAGGAAATAATCTAAAAGTTGAACTTAAAGTATCGGGTAGGGTTAGGGTAGGTAGGTGTAGGGAGAGATTTATTGTCCCATAATCCATTTAATAATTTGAATTAAAGGGGTCCTATTATGCTTTTTCAGTTTTTCAACTTTAGTTAGTCTGTAATGTTGCTGTTTGAGCATAAAAAGATCTGCAAAGTTACAAAGTTCAAAGTCCACTTCAAAGATATTTTATTTAACATAAATCACTTTTCAAAAACTACAACGAATGACTCGTTTGGATTACAAAGCATATTTTCTGGGATTTGTGATATCACAAATATTGACGAATGGGACGAGACCTGGTTGAGCTGCACTAGAGAAGGCAACGAGTGTTATCACTATGTCGGATACACACTAGGCAGACGAACTTAGAGTGGTTACAATAATCCAGGTTTAATTCGCGCTCAAATTTATTTGATATTGACGCAATATTTACACTGAAGCTCGCAGGCGGCTATGGTAAGGGGCATGCCATTCCAATCACAACACACACTGGCCCAGCTAACCAATCATTTGATACAGGAACTATTCGAGCCGTTCATGCCAGACTGGGGAGAGAGGTGTTGTAATAATGTAAACTATGTGAAAAAAATGTGTTTTTCGAATAACCTAGTATTTAATTTAGCCTGTTCTAGTACACCCAGTTGAACTTAAAGTATCGGGTAGGGTTAGGGTAGGTAGGTGTAGGGAGAGATTTATTGTCCCATAATCCATTTAATAATTTGAATTAAAGGGGTCCTATTATGCTTTTTCAGTTTTTCAACTTTAGTTAGTCTGTAATGTTGCTGTTTGAGCATAAAAAGATCTGCAAAGTTACAAAGTTCAAAGTCCACTTCAAAGATATTTTATTTAACATAAATCACTTTTCAAAAACTACAACGAATGACTCGTTTGGATTACAAAGCATATTTTCTGGGATTTGTGATATCACAAATATTGACGAATGGGACGAGACCTGGTTGAGCTGCACTAGAGAAGGCAACGAGTGTTATCACTATGTCGGATACACACTAGGCAGACGAACTTAGAGTGGTTACAATAATCCAGGTTTAATTCGCGCTCAAATTTATTTGATATTGACGCAATATTTACACTGAAGCTCGCAGGCGGCTATGGTAAGGGGCATGCCATTCCAATCACAACACACACTGGCCCAGCTAACCAATCATTTGA